GCAGAAAACCTGCGTGATCAAAAGTTTTATTCTGGGAAACTACTATAGAAGTGAGCAAATTCAAAGGCTGATGTATGGATGGTGCATGTCAAAGTCAGTTGAGGATAAATCTCACTTTCAAATGCAAAATCTTTTCAACCACGCATCAGTAACCACTTATGATTCAAACTTCTATCTTCTTTCTGTAGTTTCACATATAATATCTGTATTGATAATGATGGCAATATTCTGGGGTTGTTATTGCATTTCCTTATGGGAATTGTGATTGTTAGTGTATTGCATGATAAGAAGTGTTTTGTGAATGTAATATTTATTTACAAACAGTATAATTTATGTATTGTAGCTTCTAAGAACTCAGGTTTCACATCTTTTAGTTTTTGAAGCAAGTATCTCTCTGGAGGCAATTTTATGCTTCAAATCTGAGGAAGCAGTTTACTTCTTGTTGTGACCAATATGGGTGGCACCTTGACTTCCCTTTTTGTTGCCTGCAAGCTGAAGGGAACACCTGATCCAAACTATATGCATCAGATTTGTAGATCTACAATTAATGTTGAATTTTTCTTTGAGAAATTGTCTTTCAAGAGTGTGGCAGGAGAAAGAGAACCGATAGTTCAAGTAAAGCATTGCATGCCCTTTATTGTTACCGTATGTGCACATAAATGGGTAAGAAACAGAAGCTTAATCCTTAGCCTTTTATGATTTTACTCAGACACTGGATGCGATTGGGCTAAGCTCTTTTATAAAGTAAATTTCTGATCCTTGACATGCAAGATAAAATTGCTCCCATAGATTTGTGATTTGGACCTAATATATGTATAATTCATTATATGATGAGAAAGAATCTGATTTATGAGGTAAATTTTTTTCCATTCTTCCATTTTCATTTTCCTCTCGGATTGAAGTAAGAAAAATGTGGGCTATATATTTTTTAACATGATTTTTTTAAAAAAATAATACTTTATTATTTGTTACACTAATTATAAGTTATTATGAATCTAAACTTTTATCAATAGCTTTTATCTTGATCTTGAAGTTCTTCAATAAAAAATTGTCTAATGGAAAAATCTGTATTAGTGATGGTATATTTGAGACTATGTTAACTCCTTCCACTACTGCATTTAACATTTTTTTTACTTACATTTTTTTAAATGTTATTATAGATCAAATTAAAACATTATTGCAACATTTTTTTTTCTAAAAAAAATGTTATTATAAATAAAATAACATTTTTCTTATCTCGATGTTCTTTTTTTTACAATTGTATTTCAAAGTTTAGTTTCATATAGGATAGAAGAAATATATATCAAAAGTATACTTTTCTTATATTTAATTGTTTTCTAAAATTGAAATCTTGGCTAGATCAATATAGATGTAGAATATATATAACTGTATAATGAAATTTAAGATAAATAAACTTTAATGTGATCTATATTTGGTAATAATTAATTAATGATATTTTAAATCTTATTAAGGGTCTTGTAGACAAAAATATAAGTGATAGTAAAATGTAATTATTATTTTATAAAATACATAATTTTAGTAATATTATTAAAATGTTACCAAATACTATTTTGATAATATTTTTAAAAATGTTAAGAGTCTTTAGTAACATAGGATTTATCTTATACTTGATAAAATCTTTTAGGATTAAATATGATTTTGATCCTCTTAAATTGTCTTTATTTGGTTTTAAATTTTAAAAAAAAATTCCTTGATTTTAGTATTCCAATTTAATATAATACTTATTTTATTTCTTTTTTTAAAAATTGTCAGTTTTTATTGTTAAAATAGGCTTTCTTAACATTTAAATTGTCATTAGTTTTATTAATATGATATTTTTTAATTTAAAATATTAATTATTTTGGAGTTAAGTTTTAAGATCAAATAATTTCACACTTGAAATTTTTTACTTAAATAAAGAGTCTCCTATTAACTCAAATAAAAGTAAGATTATTTTCCCT